GTTTCCAGGAAAGTGAAGGTTCAAAGAAAATAACTGTTTGGTAGGTATCAGTAGCTTTTTTTAGTAACCTCTTTAAAAAAGGTTGTTATCCTTAACTTTTAATGTCTTTCCCTTGTTTTTCCTGCTAAGGTCCCTTTGGTGGGCTTAGAACTGAAGTTCCTTGCAGTTTTTGGCATACTGTGTGGAACAGCACTTTCTTTTTGCAATTACTTCCGTGTCATCTTTGGGGGAGGCGTTGGAAAGAACGGATCTACAATAGCAGTAAGTTGCTTTAAAAATCTGACCGAGGTTTGAATAATTTATACCCATAACTTATTGCATTTTAGATTATCATAAGGGTTTTATCTGTTTAAGCATTTAAGCAGACAAGCATATGAGTGCTGGATGGCTAAAGCAAAGATTTCATTACCTACTTTCTCTCTACCTGCTACTGGATTTCTTGTGTTGCAGGAACTAGCAGTGAATTTTCTTAACAAATTGATTGTGGTCACTGCAAAGCATTGGCATAAAACTAATGGACTTTCCTTGAGTTTTGATACCTCTGGTTTTGTTTACTGGGATTGCAAAATGTATAAAATCTGGACGTTACTGCTTGACTGAAGCCTTAGACAACTTTTCTGTCCATCTGTATTTCAGGGAACAAGTGTTCTTTCACCAGGCTTGCACATTGGACTACTTATCACACTGGCCGTTATGATCTACAAAAAGTCTACAACTCAGCTGTTTGAAAGACATTCTTGCCTGTATGTCTTGACATTTGGATTTGTGAATGCTAAAATCTCACAGAAGTTGGTGGTAAGGAATCTTGTTTCAGTCCTAAACCTTCTAAAACTAAATTTTAAGAGAATAGTATTAATTTCCAGTAATACACTTGCATAGTCATACCCTTCAAATACAGCACTGAAAAAACAGAGTGAGAAACCCCTACAAATAGCTAAAACACACTGGTATAGACGGAAAATATTACAAAAGGACATGTACACATTTCTTATATAATAAAGTAAAAAAAAAAAAAACCCAACTGACGACTCAGATAGCTGTTATCACCAATTAAAGTGCTATATATTGATTGAATAACCTGGAAAGAGGTTACTTGGTCCTGGGAAAGAATCTGTGAGGGAGGAGCAAGCTCTGAAGCATTTACGAAGCCCTTGGTCTGCCTGCTGGGTGTTTCCTAAGAGCCAGGGACAGGAGGCTGGTGCTGGGTGCAGATGATGTGCCTGTTCAGCGCTGAGGCAGAGCTTTTCTGGTAGTTACACTCATCCCACAGTGGTGCATTTTTGTCTCTCTTTTTTTTTTTTTTTTTTTTTTTAAAACATAGGTGGCTCACATGACAAAAAGTGAAATCTGCCTTCAGGACACGGCATTTATCGGGCCAGGACTTCTGTTTTTGGACCAGTACTTCAACAGTTTCATTGATGAATATATTGTTCTGTGGATAGCATTGGTAAGCATTTCGTTTATTATACTTCACATTCAGAGCATAGTTAAAGAGAACTGTCCCAGTTGTTGTGCTCTGGCATTTCTGACTTGCTCAGATTTCAGCTGTCACTGTAGAGGGAGTGGCAGGATATCTCATGTAAACGTGTTTTGGGAGCTGACTGGCTTTCCTTCCTTGGAACAGACATAGACATGTGAAAGCAAATGTACAGCTCTCTCTTGTAATAATGTTTTAGTTCAGGTAACTTGTTTAAAGTGGTTCTGGTAACTGCAGACTAACAACCTTTGTTTATCAGTCTCTGCAAACAGTTAATGCTGTTTGGTTGGTTGGGTTGGGTTTTTTGTCCTTCTAAAATAGACCACTCTAAAATAGACCACTCTGTATGTTAAAATGCTTGTTGAACTTGTCACTTGGATAGATTGATTCAAGTATAGCTGAATTTATAGTAGGGACATTTTTTTTTTTAAATTGTGTGGTTTTGTTTGGTTTTTTAACCTATTCTGTTTTGTTCTTTTGAAGTTCATATCCTTGTTTGATATGGTGAGATATGCCACTGGTGTATGCCTACAGATTGCTGCTCATCTTCATATACATGTCTTCAGAATTTCATCTCATCAAGCTCCTGAACAGGTTCAAAACCATAATGACTGATTAAATAGATCAAGGACCCCAGGAGAAGCAGTTAGGAGAATGGTGAATGAAGCAGCCTCTCTTTTTTGGGAGGACAGATTAAGCTTTTCAAGAAAATAGTTTTATGAGAAAGCTCGCTCTATCCCAGATCTTGCCAGATGTTAGAATTACTAAATATAAAGTCCTGCAGATTCTATTGTGATGCATACTTTGGAACCAGGATGTGTTCCCCATGTTCTAGACATTGCTGCTATTTCATATCATGACTACCACAATTGAAACTTTTGCCATTTCCTGTTAGGTAACCTTAATTCTGTACTTCTGGTCTGGTGAATGTAGACTGCAAAACAAGGTGCTACCAACCAGAATGCAAAGATGAATTTCACCTTTCCCTAGACAAGTGACTAATCCTGTAGCGTTAGTTTCTGAAGTCGTCTTGGAGCTGCTGTGAAGTGCTGGTCAGAGGTATCAGTGAATACAGCACTGCATTATTAAGACTGGTAAAATGAGTGAGGTTCAACTACTCAGTCTCTGTTCTGGTATTTCTAAATAACAAGCTACTGGATCAGTAGGCTGAACAAGGTATAGCTCAGGAAAATTTTCTATTTCAAAATACTGTTACGAGTGCCTTTAAGATTCATGCATTCCCTAGTATCTAAATATATAACTTACTGAATGCAATTGTAGCTTGTATTTTCTTTCAAGGCCAGTTTCTGGTTTTTTTGGTCATAGTAAGGTTTGTCTCATTGTACTCCATCATTATCTAGACTACAAGTAGCTGTGCACCTCAAGGACAGTGACTTTACCTATCCTAGCTTGTATCTGTCAAACTGCACAAGCAAATGACAAAGTTCATTGAAAAACTTAAATGACTGTGACTGTTTGACTGTGACAATGCAACCCACCCACATGTAATTCCCTCTGAAATATGTTTGATACTGCTGTGTTCATCTACCTTTTAATCCACCTGTTTCATAACTATCACTGTACTTTATCCAAACGAAACTGCATGGATCTAAACACTAATGTATAGTAAAACTCTTCAAAATAAAAAGTCAGGCCCACTGTCAGCCTTTCCCTTCCTTTAAGAACAGCCCCACTGGCTAACATAGTGGGCCTAGCTGCAGGGCTGCTCTTGTCATTAAAGAAAAGCTGAATAAAAGTAGCTTATTACCTGTATAAGCAAATCATGACTTGTACAGAAACCTTGTAAGCTTAAGTGTGTTTAAAGAGGTATGTTTTAAATACGATTTTTGTAAAAAGCTGGTGAATGTGTCTGTTACCACTTTCAGTTGCTGATATGTAGCTGAGCTGTGAGTTTATAAAAGTTCTTCCTGAACTGTACAATAAAGAATATTACCACTGCAGCTTCCTTGCTGCACATTACTTCAAAAAGACTTCCTGAGGTGTTGAAAGAACTTTACAAATTGTGTAGTCCCTGCTAAATGAGGAGGAGAATAAAATGCCATCTACCCCACTCCTGCCTAAGAAAGATATACTGATACACTTGAGGGATAACTGTAACAGTTACTGCTAAAGGACTGGTACTCTAAGTGACTAATACCAATAATGAAATTAATCCTACTACTCCTGTCTGAGGCTGGGAAAGACACAGCATCTACATGTGAGCTTAGCCTGAACCTAGGCCATGGGCACATAGAAGAGAAAATGGTGAAGACCATTTCAGTTTGTCTGAATACTGGAAACAAATGAACCAGCTGATGTAAAACATAGGCAGCATTTTTGCGGTGAGGAGGTTTGGTTGCCCAGAATGCTCAAAAATGTGTTATGCAGGTACAGTTGTTTTTAAGGATGATTGAGGTATGTGGTTGATATGGAATGAATACAGAAATCTGTCAGAAAACCAGAAGTGTGAGGCAATACTAGCAAATAACCTAGTATTGAAGATAAAAAGCAAAAACTGTTAACTGTATTTCATAGCATCCTTAGAGGGCTGGGACTCAGCAGCACAGTTACAAATTAGCAGAGTTACCTGTTTATGTACCAGAGCCCCATATTGCCTCCTAGGTCATTCTAGCGATGCATTTTCCATATTTTCTTCTTCCCTGGTCCTAGCAGGCCCAGAACAAAAAAAGCTCCATACCGGTTGCTTCATCTACACCAGTTGTAACCTAATCGCTGAAATTTCTGTAAGTTATCCATCACGAATGTGGCTCCTAGAACTGGAGAACCATCATCAAATGACTTGATTCTGAATTAAAAGTGCTAGTAGGCTGAGGAGAAGAATCTGTATGGAGTGGTTTTCAAATTAATTGTTATGAAAAAAAAAATCAAATTTCTGTGTGTGGGAGTGTGGATGGTTTTTGTTTTCTCTACAGTTGTATTAAATTAAGCATTAAAAATATGTTAGGAACTGCCTAATTTGTGAATGTGGATATTCAGGTGTAATGGTTTTCTGTAAAAACAAACTGCATGCAAGCTAAGCCAGCTGTTTAATTTATACTGATTTCCTGTAAAGAGATACATGATAAATGCTTTATCCTTAAAAGTTTGCCCTCCCTGAATTGCTAGTCATTTGGACTTGCAAAAAGTAATATTCCCTCTCAAAGACTTGTAATAACTTGTACTAAATAAATGAGCAGTGGTTCTACAAGCACTTATGCATAATGTTTAATTATGCTTACCTGAGCAGATGTCATACAAAGCTGTGATACTCAGCTCATCATTCATCTAAAGAAACCTGCTTTTTTGACAAATTACAGCAGTTCATGAATCTCTTACTAGTACAAAGATATTACAATGCCTAGCTAACAAGAGGTAACAAAACTTACTTAAATTCACCATAATACACATCATTAAACAATCCTACATGAGCTGTGTCATACTCTGTGAACTTTTACAACTGCAATATGTCAGCAGACTAAATGTTGAAACCAAAAATCTTAAAGTCTGCAGCTTGTGAAAAATGCTTCTATTTGTACAATGTACCTATTTGTATTTATGTAAAAGCTGGGCAAAGCATTTTTCAGTAATTCTGCCCATTGTTACAATTTGACATTATAAAAAGTGAAACAATTCAAGCAGTTCAGTGCTACTGAAAGCGAGTACTGAGTAGTTAAAGATTAAGTCAACAGATGGTAATGGCTTGGGGTCCATACCCCACCCAAAGTAATAAATATACAAATATACATTTTTACAACATTATCAGACACAAAATTAGAACAATCCATGAAAACGTTTAATAGGAACTTTGAAACATTTAAATCTTAACATACTTCTCCATGGCTAATGCCTATACTTGTATCATGTTACTTAGGTACAAGTTGTTTCTCCACTGAGCCATCAGAATAACATGGACTGAAGAGACTTGCGAACAGTTGCCATCTCCTGCTGTTGCTGTTACAAGAGAAGGAGATAATACTGAACAAATGCCATATCAATATGATTCCTTTGAGCCAATTAAATGAATGTCAAATGACTTTTTAATAGAATGTTCTGTTTTTTGCATTTAACTGACTTCTTCATAGCTCTGATACTTACAGTGTCCATCATAATCTTCTTCTGCAACATAGCCATTTCTTTGCGAAGTTCACTTTGTGCACCAGCTAGAAGACTTTCATTGTTCTTCTCCAGCTCTTCTATGCTCTGAAGTTAAAGATAATCTTAATTCAGAACTGTCCAGTGTCAAAAGGTTAATTTAAAGCAAACCAACCATTTTTCACATTACAGTTTAATTTTTACTGCAGCAGTGGTCATTGATAATTGATGAGTTTTGTCATGAACTTGACAGACAAATAATATCAGACTTCATACTCCAGTCTGCATTCCTGTTTAAACAGTATGGACTCTGTGAAGGAAACAGTCCCTTCCACTCAGCATCTGTGAGGTCTCAGCTAATTATCCTGCATTACAGTAAAGATAAGTGCTCTACAAGAAAGGATTAAACAGACATATGACAGAATGATAGGAGTTTAATATCATAACAACCTTGAAAACTTGAAGTAAGGACTGTAAGCTCCATTAAATTTCCTTCTCTTTTCACAGTTCTCCCCAGATAAGCCAAGTAAAGCTCACTGGTTATCTTCCCTGATGTGCATACAATTATGCCTAACTCTACATATGTGCATAGGTGCATTTTCCTTGACTTGTATTTAATTAGGCTTACTTGAAGCTACCTTTTGATCTTCTTTGAGGAGAAAAAAATAATCAAAGCAATACTTGACCTTCTGTTCCGTTTTTCATCCTCAATTAACTTTTTGACATTTTAGAACAGTTGTTTATTAATGCTTCTGTAATATCTTCTGTAAATGTTGGCTATCTTAAACTAAGAGTTGCTGTATTTCAGATTTATATTTTGAAGGTATGAGACTTGTGGAAAAAAATTTAATAACTTAAATTTCAGAAAGGAACAAGTTAGGAAATTACTTGAATAGAAATTAAGGTTTGTCAGAAACTATCAGACTTGAATCTGCCACATGTACCAGTATATACTGGGGACCACACAGCTGGAAAGCAGCTGTGAAGAAAAGTACCTGGGGCTCCTGCTAGGCAGCAAGTTGAACATGAGCCAACAGTGTGCCATGGCAGCAAAGACAGCCAGTGGTGTCCTAGGCGGCACTAGGAGAAGTGTTGCCAGCAGGTTGAGGAAAGTGATCTTTCCACTCGGCACTGGTGACAGGGAATAGTCTTTTTATAATTGAAAGGTCAGGTTTTTGGGTGGTTATACTCATTTTTTGTTTGCTGTCTACTATGTTAGCTACTTGGTTCAAAACAAAACACACCACAGTTGAGCAGCATGAATCATGTGTTTAAAACAATATCTAAGCACTGTCCAGAAAAAAGTTGTTTAAAGGGACTGCCAGCAAATGCATAAATTATCATAAAGTAATAGGAAGGTTAAATGGTACTGACTACATAACCATCCAGCTGGGCCTGTTTTCACCATAAAATCATCATTTCCATCACATTCTTCCTGTTGACATTTTAGTGAATGCTTACCTTGAATACCGGGTTACAGAAAAGAAAACCCTTTCTAATTATTGTTGCTTAGAAAGAGATGAAGGTAGTTCTAACTGGGTAATTTTACAGGAATTACAATCGATTTTCTAGAAGAGTCACTTTCCTTACATGCAGCAGCAATAGCTAGAAAGGTTAATGACAAAAAAAAATTGGTATCTAATTCTCATTATGGGGAATCCACATGCCAGGAGTAATAAAGGAAATAAATTGCAGCCTAAGATCTATTTTTAATAGATTGTCAAGTTTCACTTTTTTAAATACATACTAAAAATCTAGAGGCATAATTAAGACAAAATCCTGTTGATTTAACTAACCTATATAACCTTTAAGCTGGTACAAAACTGTTCTGTTTAGAAAGTATGCTCTGAGGGTTATGATTAAATATCTGAAACAGGTTAGCCAATCAGATCCCTGTGAGAACACATTTAAATAAATTATTTATTAAACAGATGCAATGTGTATGCCATGTTCTTAACAAATAAGGGAAAGATACTAACATGAATATTCCTGCTATTATTTTCCTTAAATTAACCTCAAATCTGTACTTCATAAAGGCTGAATTAATACAGCTTTCTTAAGCAATGTGATAGGGATCAGCTGCCTTCTAAGAGGAACTTTTACTGTACCTTTAAGAATTGCTCATAGAGTTGCTTAATGGTTTTCAGTCTCTGACTTTGAACTATTCTTGCCTGTTGAAAAACTTTCTGTTGCTGACGAAACATATTCTGAAGCAGAAGCAAAAGAAAAAAATGGTTGCATTAGTTAACCAAAAGCGCTTGGACAGCAATGCTTGTCATTAATCAGAATCAGAAATTCTGCCTTCACTGGCAATCTGGGTCATGCAGTGTAGATCTCTGCCTGGAGTTATCCTTGTTCTTACTAATGAAAGAAAGACCGGAGGCTGGATTAAGCCTTGAGTCGTCTCCTGAGGTCCTTTCCAACCTGAATTTTCCCTAGGAGATCCTGTGAGGGTTGCTGTTCAATGCAGTTCTCAAGGGTATCTCAGGGAACTGTCTAGGGAAAAGCAAAATTTGCAGATGTGCTGGGAGTACAGCAACATCATGTGGTTAGATTCCATTGCAGGGGTCCTATCCTCTTTCAGTGATCAAATTTTCATACATTTATTATATACAGGAATACTTTTAAGCAACACATGCTAAAAGACAACTACCTTCCTTTACTCCTTAATTCCCTGAACCCAAAAACTGTGGATGCATAGAAATGGCACACATCTTCCTTCTCCATAATGGTCTTGGCTTTTCTCAAGCCATATGCTGGCCTAGGACATCACTTACTGCCATTTGTAAAGTTGCAATAAAGTTTATAAACGCATCTCTCTTCACTTCAAAACATATCCGAAAACTTAAACATTTACAGTTTGAGAGCCACCAAACTTGAATTAATTTTTTTAATCAAAAGGTGACAAACAATGATAGGACAAGGGGTAACGGACACAAGCTGGAACACAGGAGGTTCCGCTTAAATTTGAGAAGAAACTTCTTCTCAGTGAGGGTAACAGAGCACTGGAACAGGCTGCCCAGAGAGGTTGTGGAGTCTCCTTCTCTGGAGACATTCAAAACCCGCCTGGACGCCTTCCTGTGCAACCTCATCTAGGTGTTCCTGCTCCGGCAGGGGGATTGGACTAGATGATCTTTTGAGGTCCCTTCCAATCCCTAACGTTCTGTGATTCTGTGATAACAATCGTATGTTTGTTTGAACTACATAAAGTGCTTTTACATTTCTTGAGTGTTCAAACAACATTCCTTCCTTGTGAAAACACCCCGAAACTCATGTCACGCTGGAAACCCACCGCTAGTTTTTCTTCCTGCTCCTCTGCTTTCTGCACATCTACATCCCACTGCTGAAACAGAGTCAGGAACTGCTGGGAGAACTCATGATTGAGCTTCTGCCTATAAACAGACACTGGCTGTAAGTATGGCAATTACTGCAAAGAATTACAGGGAAAGCCAAGGTTCAACACACACAGCATAGGACAAGAGGAGCTGGTATAGATAAAGAAACAAACTATCTCGACATCTGGCCCCAACTTAGTATTCTGTGTTTTGAAAAGCTGAACACACATAGATATGCACACTTTCTGAGTGAATGTGGATTATATACATACAAGGAGACAGCACTTGTATGTAAAATTCAGATTAAAAAGAATTACAACATTTCTTCCTATCAGTGTCAAGTTTTCTGAGACTTGCTATGTTTTTCTAACCTACCTGCAGATCTTGGCTTTAACACAAGGGGTTTGTAATGAAAAACTGATTAACTTATTCATTAGTTTATTACACTCTAGTTTCTCTATGTAAACATGAATTTTGTCATTGCAAGTTTGAAATATATATATTAATATATAT